AGGCTCTCCCCTCCCTCCCTCCCTCCCTCCCATCTGGCTTCCCCGCGAGCCTCTTAATCCCCGGCTGAGATTTTAAGAGGCCGCTTCCTGGCGCAGCAGCAGCCGCCGCCAGTGCCAGGCCCAGCAGGAGCAGCTGCCTCGTAACGGAGACCATTTGGGCGCCCCCGGCCTGGCTGGCAAGTGGGCCAAGGGTGGGAGCCACAGGCGCCCTGTGCAGAAGGAGGCAGCCTGGCCCCCTCCAGGCCTCCGGGCGGTACGAAGGGGGCCAGGTGAGGGCTGGTGGCCTCGTCTGCTGGCTGCCCAGGCAGGAGCCGGGTCCTGTAAAAGCAGGGGGAGGGGCTGTGTCCCCACGGTGAGAGAGGCAGGGGGCAGGTGCACACCTGACCGGCTCAAGGAAAGCCGGGGGTGGGGGGGGCTCACTTGCTCACCCCACCTGCATCTGGAGAGGAGGCAGCCAGATCCCACTAGAGGAATCCACCGAGCGACGTTCATTCCCCTTCTCTCCGGGGCTCCAAGGGGGGGGGGGGAGGACAGCCCTGCCCAAGGGGGGGGTCTCCAAGGGCGGCAGACTCACCTCTGCAAAGTAGGCAGTGGTGGTGACCCGCTGGCTGTCGTAGATGCTGTTCAGCATCGGCGAGAGCAGCTTCACGATCAGGGGGAGTCGGGGCCCCGCGTGCTTCGCCATGGCCCTGCAAACAGCCCAGAAGCCCCCGCGGGTGAGCCGGCCCAGGAAACCCCGGCCTGGCCCCCTCCCTGCAGGCACGTTCCCCACCCGGCCAGACACCCTCAGTGGGGGCCCCTCCCCCCAGGCGGAAGAGCAAGCAAGCGGGCATCCAAACGGTTGTTGGCACCGTAGAGTTCTTGCTGCTCTCCCAAGGTTGATTCTGTGCTTGCAGGCGTTTCACTACCCAACTAGGTAACATCATCAGTGCTAGAAGGGGGGGAGTGGAGGAGGAGGAGGAGGGCTGCGGGGTCCTTTTTGCTCCGAGCTTGGCTGCTTTTTGCGGACCTCTCATTACCCAACTAGGTAACATCATCAACGCACAGAAAAAGTTACCTGGCTGGGTGATGAAATGGCTTCAAGCCAACCTTAAGCTCAAAGAGCCCCGATCCTGAGCCCCCTGCACCCCTCCCCCCCCCGCTGCAACTCTCGGGAGGGGGGCTGTGACAGTGGCGCCAGGAGCCACCCGCAGACGGGGCCACCTGGAGCAATCCAGAAGAGTCCCGGGCCAGCAAAGGGCCCCATCCAGAGTGTCGCCCACTCACCTGGCCAGGAAGGCCACCCCGTCATAGTGCTTGTCCGGGCTCCGCAGCAGCTCCCAGCCTCCGTCCTCCGTCACAGCATGGCTGACCGACTCGCTGCCTCCCTGGCTCAGCATGGCCTTCAGGGTCTCGATGGCAGAGCTGGGGGGGAGGAGGAGGGGAGGGGGTGAGGCCCAGGGGCCCCCATGCTGGAGGACGGCCAGAGCTTAGCCCGTTGTGGAGGCCGCTGCTCACCTGCTCCCAGGAGCCCCTCAGGACCTCCACCTGAGCACAAGAGCTCCAGAGCACCTGGCCCACTCGTCTTTATTTGGGGCGGGGGGGGGCAGTGATTCCCCAGCAGAGTGAGGGAGGGTCCACCTGGGAAACTCTCCACCTGGCCCTCCCCCACTCGAGCCAAACAAGGAGACTCTCAAGCAAGACATACCATTCCTCGGCCAGGGCCTGGGCAGCCCCTCAGGAGACCCCCACCCACCCAAAACTCTCTGCTGGACGACCCCCATCCTGCCAACGCCTGCCCCTCACGACCGAGAGACAAGGAGAAGCCGGCCCTAAGGGACCCCAGGCGGACTATCTGGGCCTCCGGAGAGGCTCAGAACTTGGGGATCCTCTCAGCTTCTGCCCTTCACCCCCAGGCCTTTTGCCCCCCCCTCCCCGCCCCCCCAAGCTGCAAACCCAGGTTTTGTCTGGGAAGGTCCTCGTCCGTCCAGGCCCTGGCCGTCCGCCCAGAGGGGCTTTGGCTTTAAAGGCAGTTGGACTTTCCGGTTTTCCTTCGTTTCGCTTCCCACCCGCAAAGCCGCTTCAGTTCAGAGAAGCCAAACGTCTCAAAGAAAGATCAGGAAATCCAGTTGGCCCCTAAAAAGCCCCTTTGGGAGAAGGGAGGCAGGAGCTGTGGATCCCAACCAGTGCACCGTTTGCCCCCAAGGGAACGGGGTCAAGGCTGGGGGGGGGGGCTGCAAAGGGGCCAACTTACTTGCTCTCCCAGGTGACCGCAGCCCAGGGCCAGCAGCCTGGACCCTGGCAGCAAGGCCCATCGGAGGGACGGCTCTCCCGCTGGAGGGTCCCAGCACAATTCCCCCCCCTCCCCCCGCCCACCTGGTTGAGCTACCAAGTTTTCAGGTGCCCCAAACCAAGGGGCAGGTGGCTGGACATCCAGGTGCCTCAGGAGGCCTGCAAGTGACCCAGGGCTGCTCGGGTGTGAGAGCCCAGGTGCCTCCTCCACATACGTGGACCCCAGCTGGGTGACCTCTCCAGCCCCCGGGCCCCTCTGCCCTCCCCGGCCAGGACCCCCCAGGGAAGCCCCTGCAGCCCAGCCCCCTCGGAGGAAGGCAGAGGGAAACCACAAGGCTGCCTGCAAACAGGAAGCACCATTTAATAGTTCCTGGTTTCGGGGGGAGGAGCGTGTGGGAAACGGGCCCCCCAAACCTCCCCCCCCCCCGCTGAGGTCAGGCCCAGCTCCATTCCTCGGGTGCGATGGGCCGTGGCGCTCCAGCCGTTAGCTCTACGCCCATTGGCTGAGCCGTTTCCTCGGGGGCGTGGCCGGGGAGGGGGCGTCAGGGGGAGGCCGTTACCTGCAGGGGTCGAGGGTGCGCAGGCTCTGCCCCCGGCCGATGCTCCTCCGCTCCTTGGAGTGCAGGTGCTTGGGCAGCTGGACGCCGACCGAGCAGCTGACCCGCAGCAGGAGGGAGACGAAGAGCTCCGCGTAGAGGCCCCCCACGGCCGGTCCAGACTCCGGGACAGACATGATCTCATGCAGCGCACACGTGGCCTGGCGGGATAGGGGGGAACGCATCCATTTCTGTCCCGCCCCCGTCCCCCCGTGCAGAAGGCACCTCCCTCCCTCCCTCCTCACATACGTCATGGGGGCTTCAGGGAGCTTCCCCCCCCCCCCCCCCTTCCTGCAGGACGGGGGGTCAAAGGCGGCCCCCCCCCCCCCCAGCACCCCCACAAGGTGTGCAGCTCCCCCCCGCCCCTCCACTGACATACAGCCCCCCCGCCAGCAAGGCAAGTGAAGTGCAGGCAGCCAAGGGTCCCAGGGGGTCTTCAGCACTGGGCCAGGGCCCCCCAAAGAGGTCCAGAGACCCCCCTGCCCACCCAGCGCAGGGCAGGGAAGCAGGCCGAGAGGCGGGGCCACAAGGGCAAGGGGGCCTCCCAGGGCAGGTGAGGGCGCCAGGCTCCCAGAGGGCTCGGCCAGGCATCAGCCGGGAGGGGAGCCCCACTCATTCCCCCCCCCCAGCAGCCCTCCTCCCACGCAGGTCAGCGCCAGAGGGGCCCCAGGCAGCCCCCCCGCCCATCACAGGCCCAGCCGACTGGGAGGCAAAAGGGAGCGGAGGGGCCCCCGGGGGACACCCACCGAGAGGGGGAAGAAGGTGGCCACGCGCTCCGAGCGGCTCCCTCGAAGGAAGGACTTGTTCTCCTTGTACGGGACGTCCCGGTTCACCTTGTCCAGCAGCAGCTCCAGGACCTGCGGGGTCAGGGTGGGCTCCGAGGCCAGCGCCCTCCACATGGTGCAGCTGCAGCTGCAGGGAGGCAGAGAAGCCCCTTCACCCCCAGCCCGGACCCCTGCCCGTAAAACCTTCCAGAGGAGGGCAGCTGCCCTGGGCAGACCCCCCAGGAGCCCCCGCCCGAGGGAAAGGGGAGGCTGCCGGCCCTGCTCTCAAGCCCCTCGGGGCCCTCTGCCCAGTCGGGGAACCCCGAGGGCCTTCCGGGTGGGGGGAGGGGGCCTTCCTTGAGAGGGGCCACACAAGGGACCCTGGCCGGCCTGGGGCCACTCGGGAGCAGCAGAAGGGCCTCCCCAGGAAGGCCTGGGGGGTGTAGGGAAAGGGGTCCCTCCGAAAAGCCCCCCGGGAGGCTCCCAGCCCCCTTACCTGTCCAGGGGGAGGCTGTGGCCGAGGAGGCTGGACACCACCGCGGCCTTGTGCTGGCTGGCCAGGATGCAGACCGTCTGCTGGGTGGCCTTGCGGACCGACTCCTCCGGCACCTCCTGCAGCTTCAGGTGGATCACCTCCAGGAGCTTCGGCACCTGCCAGGGAAGGCGGGGGGGGGGGGGCTGGGGGGGAGAGCCCCCCCCGAGCCCCACCGTGCCCCCCCCCGGTCTCTTCTCCCCCTTCCTGCCCCACAGACCCTCCCTGAGCCTCTTCGGCTGAACCGGAAAGACGGACCGGCGGCCAACAGAGGAGGGCTGGGCGGGGACCCCCCCCCCCGGGCCCCCCCCAACCCCCCCCCCCCCAAAGGGAAGCCCTGAACCTCTGTCTGCTTCTCCACAGCCTCCCCGGGTCTCCGCTGAGCAGGAGCCCGAAAGGGCCCCAGGGAGCGTGGCCCCTCCAGTGGGCCCCTTCCGAGGCTGGGGCCCTTCCCCCTCCCCGGGGGCTTCCAGGCCTTCAGAAAAGCCGCTGTGTATCCAAGGGGGGGAAGGGGGGGCAGTGGCCCTGGGCACCCCCTGGACTTGCCATGCTGCCGCCCCCCAGAGCGAGATGTGCCCCCCCCGCAGGGCCCCCCCACCTTCTCCAGCAGGACCCCCCCTCGCTCCTTCAGGATGGAGTTGATCATGACGGCGGCCGCTCGGGCGCAGTTCCGGTCGGGGTCCGCCAAGCCCTCCAGCATGGAGAGCAGCAGGCTGAGCAGCTGGTCCGGGGGCAAGTGCTTGGCCATGACCTGCGGGGGGCAGCAGAGGGGAAGGAGGCCGTTCGAGACCTTCCTCGCCACCAGGGGGTGCCAAAGCCACGGAGGTCCGGCTGCCCCTGGAGGGTGAGAATCCCACTTGGCCCTCGGCCTCCCTTGAGGGCCGAGAGCCCCCTGGGCAGCCCAGGGCAGGGCAAGGAGCGGGGAGACCCCTCCCCTCCCTTTGCCTGGCCAGCAGCCCCCCTGCCCCCCCCATCCCCCCACCCAGGCCGTCCCCCCACCCCACCCTGGCAATGTTGCAGCACGTCTGGAAGAGGACGGTCACATCGGGGTCCTTCAGGCCTGGCTTCAGGGCTTTCAGCTGCTCCACGGATTCATCCTGGTGATCCTGGGAAAAGCCTGGAAGGAAAGAGATCCGGTGGGTCACGCGGCCCCCTGGCTGTCGGTCTGGGCAGCTTCCCTGGAGCACACTGGGAACAACGCCCCCTTGCGGCTGCTGAGCCCTGGAAGGCAGCAAAGGAAACACTGCCCCCTGCTGTCCAGAGAGGGGCCCGGCCCTGCAGGGAAGAACCCCACGGGAGGAAGGGACGGGGTGGGTGGGGGGCGTGGAGCAGCCCCCCCATCCCCCAAAGCCTCGGCAGGGTTACCTTCATAGCAGAGCTGCACGTAGAGGAGGGAATGGACGCAGTCCACCGCGTGTTGCCGGACGCTGGGCAGGGAGTCCGTGCAGCGGGGGGAGAAGAGAGCCATCAGCACCCCCAGGTTGTAGAAGGGGACCACCTTCTG